TTTAGTTTCAGAAACCTCCGCTCCTGCTGCACCATCTGTGTTGTCGGTAAATGTTGGGGAGAAAAAAGGACTGCAAGACAAAAGAAACAGACAAACTTTTCCTATTAAAACTGGATGTGACACTATTACACTTTCACACTTTTACAGAGGCATTACACTTCACAAGTGTTTAATCCTGAGGGAGTTTTTAATGGGCCAGTGAGGGACTGGCAACCTGTCCAGAGAGTACCACGCCATTCAGAGCTCAGAATTCAGAAAACAGATTTTGTTCAGAGATTGAGAAAACATTATATTCTGCCATCAGCCCGATCCATTTAAAAACACCTATTCAGAAGGTTGCCCTCTTGAGACTTGAAAAGAGGAAGCAGCAATTCTAAAACAGTTGAATTTGATCAAAATGTGGACTAAATTATTTGATTACTAGAAGTTGGCTGCCGCATCCATCCCCTGACTGTTGTCCTGGATCTTTTTAGCATATCGGCCAGCCAGACTCCGACAGCCATGGAAAAGTGCCCAGAAGGTAAACGAAACCATGCTGGCATTGGACACACAGTACCTCGACTGGTTTCGCACACACACATCTGTGTGCGTTCTTTGATAGCCACATCACACTTATGCGCACTTAGGCACAGACACACAACACTCTGGACCCGTGATTATCAATGCCTCTTCTCCAAATACTTTTCGCCTTTGGATTCATGTGATAAAAGGACTTAGATACAAATGAGCAGTATTCAAATCCTGTATGTCTGCATGTGTAACAGTAAATGAAGGAGTAAGCATTCCAAATTTGACATTGCCATGGCAACAGCAAAGTTACACAAAGCCGACTGCCACATTGAGTAAGAGTACACTCAACATACAGCAATATGGTAGGAAAAAAGGGACATTTTAACTGTTCATACTCGGCGTCTTTGACCCAGTTTCCCTGCAGGGGATTTATATATATTTGCTTACACCCTACATCCAGTTCACGCATGAATCTTACATTAAAGCACTTTTGCATACCCTTGTTTTATTTTTGTGAGAATCTTTTCTCACCGTAAAGCATTCTGCTCACAGCGCAAACATCCCCAGTTACCCCAGAGGCAAAGACTGGTAATCTTTATGTAGCAATCCAGTCAAATACAGGAGCCCTTCTAGGGCTCAACACAGTTACAAAAATATTGGGCTCAATCTTGTTTCCATTCCCGAAACACACGCAACTATTTGACAGTAGGTGGACGTGCATTTATTTACTAGAGAATGGATCCTATCTTCATCTTTACTACTTTCCTTGAAGCCTCAGTCTAACTTGTAACCTTACAACATGCATCCCCCTTAAATCATTTAATATTTTATGTTATGAGGCTCCCGCCCTCCATAAGACATACTAGTCCCTGTATTGGAAGTGTGTAAACAGATTTAGGTTCCCACATTGGAGCAACCCCCCCCCCTACCCTCGTACACACACAAAGACACACACACACACACACATTCAAGCACACAAATTGATAGGAACATCACAGACCCCCAGCTGCTGCTCCGTTGTAATTTATTATCCCTTCTTTGCCCAGTGGAGTCATGAAATCGTTCCGGCCTTTGCGGCACAAACACATGCACGCATGCACACACGCACACGCACAGTCATCCTGGCCCGTTACCCAGAAAGACCTCTTAGGCTTAATTAGGATCGGGTCCCCGGGGAGAGCACAGCAGCAAAAAATACACTAGAAGGCTGAGGGATGTAAGGCCTGACAGGACAAGCTGTTCTGCCGTACAGGCCGAGGAGGACGCAGAATGTTTTGCTTTTGGTTTGAAATCGTGTTTTCAGGGATTTATTAATGTCACTTTATGACAGATCAATGTGACCCCCACACACCTTTTCATCCCGTGCCCATAGGTCATTTGCATCCCACAGCTACACCCAGGAGCACAACATCCACACGCTTCTGTTTTTTTCCGGCACACGTCTCTGAATATTTCATAGGACACAAACACAACTCTTTGTTACATGACTCAAACTGGACACCAACTCTGTGCATGTCAACGCCTGCATAATTTACACAGAGACAGTTGCTGTAAGGTTAAAAAGCTTATGTTTCCCACACGTCCCCTTTGTGTTTGTTTGCGCCGGGATCCATTTAAAAAATACAATAAAATTCTACGCCTCGTGAAGTGGCCAAACCGCCTTCACTTCACCAACCGAAAAGCAGGGCAGTTTTTTTTTTTATGAAACCATATTTCGAGATTTATATCGTCAAGGGGATGAGCTCAGCGTGAGCAGGTTTGCCTCATGTGCACTTACAGCTGCAAACGTGCACTGATGTGCTCCCTGTGAGGAATTGCACCATAATTATGCCTAAGGTGGAGGCGATTAATTTTTTAATGGATCCAATGTTTTATTCATAGCACCTGTCCAGTCTTGACTATTGCAGAGCACACACACACACACACAGGCACACACACTGCCAAAAAGACAGCAAGCAAAACTGGCAATTTGCACTTTCATACAGAAGACAATTCATGCATCTCAGTGGCTTTGAACACAGAGGAATTGTGGGCTGATACTGTAGACACAAAGATGAAGGACTCCTTAAGTAATGACATAATTGTGTATGTAGCTCCCCTTTCATCTTTGGGTTTCGGTTAATGGTTATTCTGAACATGGCAGATTAAAAAAAGAGAATAATAAAACAAAACTAAATAGATATGTAGCAGAGAGTCAAAGACTGACTGGGGACAGTAGCAGAAGAGGGTGTTGCCTCTAGATCGAGGCCAGTAAGACCGGTTATTCTGTCCTAGAAATCCATTTTCCCAGCCTAGCACTCTGCCTAATCATCCACCCCGCTGTGAGAGGAATATCGTACCCCGAGCAGGAAGAGCTGCAAAGCCGGAGCGCATTTAGGACTTTTAAACACTACTCCTTCATCCTGCTGTTTTCACCCTCCAGTACCTGAATACGATTTCGCTCGAATGGGTGTGTTTGTAGAGCAGAACGGGGATTATAATATGAAAGAAATTAAGGTTTATGAACTTTATAAACTAATGAACGCAAAACTTAAAAACTCAAAAACAGCAAAGAAAATAAAGCTAAAAATCTTTATTTCACAATTTCAATCAATCAATCGTGTGTTTTTTTTTCTGGTATTTTTTGCACCATATATATGATGGAGAATATTGGTTTCAAATGCCCCATGTACACTTTTGGTCTACCATTTCTCTATCATGAACCAATTTAAAAAAAACAAAGGAAGTCAAATGTGTTTTTGAGACTATTCTTGAATACCTTTAGATGCGTAATGTAACTTCTGACCACTGTGCAAGCAGAGAAGAATTATTATCAGACATCTGCTGGCTATTTTTAAAAAAATCGGATTACTTAAATCTGCTTCCATCACCTGTTCATTCTGTCTGCGTGTACTTGATAATGCCGAACACCACAGATTTTTCTAATTTATCACCCCCGCCCAGCTGGACTTGGAGCGACAGATTTATTAGACAGTCATTTGCGGCCGCATGTAACAAAGCCGGATGAGGGCCGGTGAGAGTGGCAGAGTCATAGCTGTTTGATGACCTCTGGGTGATAATGGCCGCACAGGAGAGAAGGACACGGCGGAGGACAGGCGTGCAGATAAAGACGTAGGAAACGCTGTGGGTGGGTTATGAATGAGAAAGGGCTGCGTGGTCAGAAATCTGGAAGAGTGGAGCCATGTGGACGAAGATACGTCATTCAGATGCGCTGCCTCGTGTGAAGCTGGGACAGACGTCAAGAGTGTTCTGCCACCGACTATTTTGGTAGCTTGAACACTTTACATGAGGGGATTTGTGCTACTTTTCAGTTCAGAAGGGTTAAATGTTTTTATAAAATCCCACATGAACAAAACAATCCAGATTAAATATATCTGCAGGCTCCTGACCTGTGACAGGGGACCATAGTGGTTAAATATTGAAAAAAACTAATTCACAAAAAGCACATGAAGTACTTCAAATGTTGCATTCTCATCACAGCAGTTTATTAGAATAATAAGAGATGTGTCTCATAACTTAAATGATCAAGGGAAGTAATATTCCACTGGCTGTTCTGGAGGAACTTTGATGGAAGGTCAGACTGTATATGTATCTGTACAACAGTGATTTAGTTCTTGGACAATTTAAGTACATTTACTATGAAACACATACCTTAGAATGAGTGCAATTGTAACTGTCTTGCACTGTGGAGACACTATTTGGGTGCAAAATAGATGTTGACTGTTCTTTTCTGATGCTATTTGCCGCTCATACTGTTTCACAGTACAAGCTAGGCTCATTGATCCCTACTCCTTTTATCTATCCATACAGAGCATTTTTCTGAGATAAACACATCCCCACCGGTGGAACATTAAAGGCTGGTGTGGGGTTTCTTTATCTTAACCATGTGGACAAGAGAAGCCTGGGATCTAGCCATGATACCTTAAAAAAAAAATGTGACAGAAAGATGTTTTGTCATGCAAATGACAAAGGGGAAAAAAACGCACGGTGCAGTCATTAGTGGGTGTAATGTGCAGATGGAGGAGATTTAAGAAGTGTTGAACAACAGGGAGGACGCTATCTGCTGAAACGATACCACGATTTCCTGTTCCACATCCACCTTTACAACAAACGAGCATGAGATTAAAAGGCTTGCCCTGTCTCTGAGGCTCCTCCATCCTTCAGGAGGAGGGGCTGGTTGGGTTTTTCATTTTTCTCACGACCTGCAGCCGGCTGCATCGTGAAAGAACAGGGCCGTGCTGGGAGGAGCTTGTGTTTTTCTTTTTTTCTTTTCTTTTTTTTTTTCCTAATCTATCTGACCTCGGTGGGCTGTGTTTATGGTTAGCATGAGTATGTTATTGGTGCATAACTGTTAAATGATGGCGAAATTGAGAGAGCTTGCCGGTAGTCGGACCAATGGCGTGCCGAGGTGTGGCTCCGCGGGGGCGTGGCCTCGGCGGAGGGGGCGGCGCCAGAAGCGGAAGTGTGCCTCGGCTGATCTCTCGCTGTCATTCGGCCACGGTCGGTTCCACGAGAGAGGGGCAGCCAAGACACACACAGGGATCGGCTGGCTCTGTTGGAAAGACAGCTACAGAGAAATAATTCTGAAATCCAACAAACAATGAAACCGATCGAATAAGGCTTGTGACGGAACCGCACACCTGTCACGTTAACAAAGCCGTTCGATGATAGTCCAGATCACAGGCAGCAGATAGCGAGCTGTGTCATTGAGCAAGCAGGACACGTCAGGAGAAGAAGAAAAAAAAAAAGAGCTGACCGACTGTAGTCAGCTACTAAATCGCCTCTTAAAGCTCTGCCTGCCGCACTCCTTGCTTCAAGGACACCATCTGACTCTCAGACGAAAGGAAGAAACGCGACAAAGACATCGCCGAGGTCGAAGGTGGTGATCGGAAGGTGAAAATGATATCTTTTCGCCAGTAGCCAGCTTGTCCAGCTAGCTAGCATCCGTGCTAACCGTTGGTAGCTAGCTTGCTAACGTTAGCGACCGATGGAAAACTTAGCTCGGCTGCTTTATTACTATTAACAGCCCGTATGTCGATTTCCGCCTCGGGCGTAGAAACGACGCGAGGGGACCCACAAATTGTGAAACCAAAAGAGCCCGTTTAATTTGACGCATTCGGATAAAAGTAAACTTAAGTGGGGCTACATTTGGTCGAGGACTACCCGCAGACTGCTGACAGCTGTCAAACGAGGTCGAATGTATTATCGGCGAACGTTAGGTCGGTTTATTGTGAACGTGCACGGTGTCGCTCGGTGTTTCTGCGGCCGTGTGGCCGTTCGTGTCTTTCGGGTTGGCTGTTAATACCCGTCAGCCCGTTTGCCCGAGTCCGACCGTCTCCAAATGGAGACTGTGCTCGACACAGCAGTGTCTCTCGTTTCACGGAAGGCTGCCAGGAGCTCAGCTGTGGACTCACAAACTGGCAACGTCACGGGGTTATAATTAGCTAAACACGGAACGTCGACCGGTTGTTGTTTTTATTTATTTACCTGCAGCAGATGGTTCAAGCACGAATGTGCCCATTTACGACTCCGTCGTTTAGAAATGATTTATTTTAAATATAGACACTTTGGGGGAAGTAACTTTTTTTTTTAAAGGGCTAAATTACAGGGCCATGACAGAACAAACGTCAAAAAACATTACATAATAATTCTAATGTCCATCTTGATACATATATGTGTATTATCTTTAGTAATAAGCTCCCATTTCCCATGGAATAATAATTTTAAACGTACATGGAAGGCAGTTTTGAAAAGGAATTTAAGGCTTTATTTCGCTTTTGAAATTAAGCGCCACCTAGTGGCCACGTGGAAAAGTGCACTTAGCGTTTTCTCTTCGAATGCCCCCCAAGGAAGCCTGTTGCTTTCAGACCTCCTCAAATTGTTAATCCTAATTCATAGGATGATCTATTCACAGCATTGGGGCCTTCGGCAACACAACTATAACATGACACTTCGCGATCGTTTAGAGTTTGATGTTAGCATGTGGATTCCAGGGTAGCTAGGATTGTTATTTTTTGTATTGTTTTCTTACAATTTCGACTATGTACAGATGTGTAATATTTGACGCTGTTTTATATAGGCCCGTTTTGATGTAATTTCAGACTAACTTTTATCAGGTCAAATTGTTTATTAGATCTTAAATGCCATTTTCATAGAATAACAAACATTAATCATTTCTGCAAAATCTGTAATGTTGAGTTTTTTTCCCCCCCTGATTTCTTTAAAGTCAAACATCCACATTTCATTTTGTGATATTTTAAGTGTTGTTGCCGACATTTCATGACAAAAGTAACGCCCAAACACAAGAGGTCACACTACTTCCATCAAGTAATTAAATCCATCCATGTTTATCTGTAGCCTTTGGCAGAAAATAGCCTTCCCAATTCTACACCCAGTAACACCCAATATGCACCGGTTAGCTGTATTCTAAATCCCCTGATCTAGTGGGGGAAATGAGATGGGCTGACTGCTAACTTGTGTGCCATCCTGTGTGCTCTTCTCTCAATAGGACCAAAGAGATCACGGGATAGCATTTGTTTCAGGGGGAAAAAACAAATGGGGGATTACGGGTTCGGAGTTCTAGTTCAAAACAACACTGGCAACAAGTCTGCATTCCCGGTCCGAATCCACCCGCACCTGCAGCCCCCACACCACCACCAAAATGTGTCTCAGAGCCCCGCCGCTTTCATAAACAGCACCACCACCACGGGGAATGGCACCACGGGCGGCTCCCCGTGGCTCTTCCCCGCCTCGGCGGCCCACAACAGCGTGCAAGACGAAATCCTGGGAGGGGCGGAGAAGCCCAAAGCACAGCAGCAACAGGAAATGCAAGAAACGCAAGAAAAGCAGCAGCAGCAGTTGTCTCCCGGGGGCCACCAGGACGGGGGGAGCGGCGGGGGGATCATTTCGGAACTGGAAAAGGCCCGCTCGGAGGAGGCCAAGACGGAGAACGGCACGTCCGAGGGCGGCGGCGGCGGCAAAGACAAGCAGCTGCGCCTGGAGTCTCCCGTCCTGACCGGCTTCGACTACCAGGAGACGTCCGGCCCCGTGCAGTCCAGCGCCACCTCGTCGTCGCTCACCGGCTTCAACAACTGGTCGGCCGCCATCCAGCCGGCGCCGTCCACCATCATCAACGAGGACGTCAGCTTCTTCAACCCGGCCTCGGCCAGCAACGGCCCGCTGCTGTTCCAGAACTTCTCGCACCACGTCAGCCCGGGCTTTGGCGGCAACTTCTCCCCCCAGATCGGACCGGCCGCCGCCCTGTCCCAGCACCACCCGGCCCCTCCCCCGCACCCCCACTTCCAACACCCCCACAGCCAGCACCAGCAGCACCGGCGCTCCCCGGCCTCCCCCCACCCGCCGCCGCCCTTCCCACACAGGAACCCGGCCTTCAGCCAGCTCCCGCATTTGTCCAACAGCCTGAACAAGCCTCCGTCCCCCTGGGGTCCGGCCAGCTACCAGAGTCCCTCTCCCTCCCCCGGCTCGTCCACCTCGTGGAGCCCCGGGGGGGGCTACGGCAGCGGCGGCGGCGGCTGGGGAGGGTCCCAGGGCAGAGATTATCGCCGCGGGCTCAACGGCGGGATGACCCCCATCAACTCCATCTCGCCGCTGAAGAAGACCTTCCCCAACAACCACGTGGCGTCCCAGAAGTATCCCCGGAACAGCCCGGCGGGCTTCAACCCCAAGTCCTGGATGGACGACGGAGTGGGCCGCAACGACAACATTTTCCCCTTCCAGGTCAGTCGGGTCTCCGCCTCCGTAGCTGCCATTGGCTTAGCCGGGAAGTCACATGACAGTGTAACAAAGAGCTGTGAGACGGAGCGTTTTTCAGCTCGTCACCTCAAACCCTTAAAAAAAAAAAAATCAAGGTGTAATTTGTGAGAGCAGAACCAAATGTTGCAATCCTATTTTTAGAAAGGGAGAGGGGGGGGGGCTCCAATTTACACCGCGCACTTGTTACCGTTTTCTAAAGCTGCTGTTGGACTCGTTTCCACGGCCGTGCGTCCCCTTATGATGAGTAATACTGCTCTGTCTCCGCAGCGGTGTGTGCCACGTAGGCCGGCCGGGGGGGGTCGGAAGGGGAACAGGAGCTATGGGGCGGGGGGGGGTGGAGATGAGGAGACAAACCTGGGGGAAGTGGAAAATAATCCAGGCATCGTCACAAAGACAAAGGCTTCCGTCTGTTTTTAGTAGTGTTTGGTTAGTCAAACCGAGTCTAATCTTTTTCTGCATTAATCCTTCACCTGGTAGCTCATAAAAAAATGAGAGAGAATGCATTTTGCACTATTTGTGTGTGTTTTTTCATAGTCGTTTTCACACACCACAAGCTTGTTCTGATGGAGGTGTGATAGAGTCTGGGGGGGCACTTTGTTGGCCGTCCTTATAAGTAAATATGTAAGTTGGAACTTGCCATTGTCTCTCAGTGTCATCGTAGATACGGTGAGGTTCAAGATTCTTAGCTTTCGCCTCTCATTATCGTTTCCAACCATAATTTAAGGTGGCTCTGTTTGTCGTTAACTTCCCAGGGATTGTTTTCATATCTTTAGAGTGAATGACTCACAAGGCGGCGTGGGTTAAACGCTAAGGACCTGACAAGTCCTGACGTGTCTCCAGTGTTTTTGCTGAGTATGTGGCAAAGCAACGGCAAGATTTTGTCATCAGCTGTTTGCAGTGGTTGTCAATACCCGGCCATTACTGATTTGGGGTAATAGGCCATCCAGGCCCAGGCCCGGGTCAGAGGTGGCTGTCAATGAGCCCAGAGAAGTCCTTTTCAGCTCAGTTAGCTTTTTTCAATGAGAGAAGATATGAAAACTCATCAGCCGGCGTGTCTTTCAGTCCCTCCGGCTTTAATCAGAACGTCCAGAGTCCCTTCTGTTTCATCCCTGGGACAGATTTGATCCAAAGCCTGCGTTACACTTGCTGGGGCACATTGCCGCCTTTGTGGTTGGATCTGATCAACCAAAGTAGCATTGTCCTTTTGCCCTCCCGATCCAGCAAGGGCAGATGGGAGGATGGGCGCTGAATGGCCCCTCTGTGTGTGTGTGTGTGTGTGTGTGTGTGTGTGTGTGAAAAGATATTGATTGTGTCAGTGTAACTAATTTGCAAATCACAAATTGACAATGTTTTTCAAGATAATTTCTATTGACACTTTTGGTATGGATGAAAAAAAAAACTATAAAAAAACTAAAGATGGTAAAAGATAGATGACTGGCTCCTTTTTTTATTTTTTTATTTCTTTAACCCAAAATATTTTAATCTTTCACTACCCAAATTGAAGCTCCTTAATTATTTCCGGTGTTGCCTCGCTTAACTGCTGTATCCTGCTACCCATTTGCACATTTGTATGTGAAAGGGACCCTTGATGGCTGTAGTTCCTAGGCAACAATGCACAGCTCCCCAATTGGAAATGATTATCGACTTTCAAATTTCGGAATATTTGGAGTTATTCTAGCTCGGCGACGCAGCGGTGCCCGCTGCCGCCTAACCTTTAAACTGCTGGGATTGACATTTCTCTGGTGACTCGGAGCCGTATTTGTTTGTTGTTGCAATTTGTCCAGACGTGTCGATTTTTCAAAATCTACACAGCAGCCTTTGACCGCTTCCTCCTCCTGCGTTCAGAACTTCTCGTCCCATCTTGTCAGGGAGCATCTGGAGAATGGATCAGTTTGGCCTAAATGCAAATAGTCTCTCAAGTTGGGAGCATTTTGCTCTGGGGGATTTGTTTCTGTCTCACTTTGTGCTGCGTTTCAATTTGGAGAGGAAAAAAAAAAAAGATCTCCCTCTGACCGTTTTCTTCACTGAATACAAAACTTAGAAAGCATTTAGTTACAGCATGAGTTAGAAATTTCATCCACCTAAATTGAAATTCTGTGCCTGTTAGATAATAATAATAAAAATAACTCACCAAAAAGTGTGGCTATGACTTTAAAATCCTCCCTAAATGATCAGAACCTGCCAGTTCTTCCATCAGATTCCTTCCCTATAATTGATGATGGATATGTTTACTTGATTTTTTCTTTTTCTTTCTCCATATTGTTGAATATGGTGTAGAATTACTGATTAGACAAATAAGTATAATCAGGGGTTTTTGTCGCATTGCTATGTGTTAGACTAGAAAAATAGTAGTGCGAATTAAGCCGAGCCTATTAAAAATGATGTCATTCTCTCCCACTGTAAATGTAAACCATCTCCAGCTGCCTCACATACTTCCCATTTTAGCACCAGCCTGACAGATGAGGGATCAGTGGTTTTTGCTTTAGAACTCCTATTGTTCAGTCCTCCTACAGCTACTTAAATAACTTATAACTCTCTTTGCTTCCTTGCGCATGTTTTTTTTTTTTGTGCCTCTTTTTTTTGTCAAACTGACACCCGAGCTCGGCCTCCGTTTCTCGGTCAGTCGGATGTTCTAACGCGGCCCTCCTGGACCTCGGGAAGAGACCGCGTGTCCGAGAGCGGATCTGAAAGCGCCATTTTTTGGCAGCTATCTGGTGCAAAGTGGCGTGGAGCGCGGTGGCGAGCGGGGGGGGAGATGTTCCAGTACCGGGGAGGCCCGGGGATGTACTGGAGCGGCTTTAGTAGCGGGGGGGGGGCGGGCTCGGGTCCAGGCGCGCCGCGGCTAATGCGCTGTTCAGCTGCTGAGTGGCTTTTGACCAAGTATTTTTTAATTTCGTCGTGTCAGAAAAGCATGCCTTTTTCTCTCCTCCCCCTCCTCCATCTCGCCTGTTCTCCCCCTCTAATCCCTTACCTGTGAATCTCAAGGTCAGCAGCCCGCTGTTGTGTCAGGTGCGCGGGGATAATTTGAACTGGTAGATTTGGCCGGTGACCAGGTCAGGACCCGCGGGGCCTGGGGGGGGTGGGGGGAGTAGTAAGCCAGGGCAGGATATTGTCTCAGTAAGCCACCTGGGTAACTGTTGGTTACAGTTCCCTCCTCTCTGTTTGTGTAGCTCAGATGCCTGGTAGGCTTCTGGAGAGCCGGCGGTCAAACCGCCTCTTCGTTAAAATGCCTGTACTTCACTGTTAACGCGGGAGGTCAGTTCTCAAAGTGGACAACTCTGTGGGCAAAAAGTAAAAAAAACAACAACATACAAACGAAAAAAAAACTGTTCTTCTCAGTATTGCTGCTGCTGCTGCTGCACTTTTAGGGGATCTCTATAGAAATTCACGACAGTCGTGACAAGTATAAGACAGAAACTGACAAGTCTTTTTGGGGGGGGGGACGTGTAACATGTGCACGCATCTGCAAACAAATGCTACCCGCCATCCAGCCGCAGAGTCCCAAGGTTGCAGCCATTAGCTCCGGTCCTTGTGACAACAGGGTTTTATGAGTGAAATGTTTTTCCAGTTTAATGAGAGGCCCGCGCCGCGCCGGGGTGGGGGGGGCCGCGGCTCCCTCCCGCTCTCACCGCCTCGCCGTGCCCTTCTCGCACCCTTGACAGATGCTCTGAAACGCGTAGAAATAAAAAAAAGAACACTTATGCACGCGCGTGGATCCTGACCAGCAGCCGACCAGCAGGACGGAGCGGAGTGGACGTGGAAGCGTCGTCCGGTCTGGAGGCCGACGGCCTGCCGCATCGGTCTAATCCCTGAGCGCTGCGTAATGCGCCGCTGGAACCCGTTCCCTCTGTCGCTCTTGTTAAACTCCAAAGGCGCACATGCGTTCTCTCTGAGCCGCTCAGCCCACACTGAGTAATTGGTTGTTTTGACAGTTGGGGGGGTGGTGGAGGGGTTGGGATGTATGTCGTGTCATGGCGGTTCTTTGAACATACTTGACCAGGAAGAAAGATCGCAAGCATCAAAGCTTAGCCTCTGCTTCCCTTTCCTGCCCTGGTTCCTTCTCTTTTCACAAGGCCCCGCCTTGCTGCTAGCTCTCTCCATCGCTAGCCTCTCGCTCTGATGGCTATAAGTCATCAGAGTCACGCTGGTTAATCAGAGCCCACCCTCCAGTTGTGCGACGGCTGTCAAAATCCCCCACCGATGCATTGTTTCCCCACGTGAGGACACATTGTTCCCTGAAGTGAATCATTGGTGGCGGTGACTCTCTTCTAAAAGAGCTAATTTGATTTAGTCACCTACCTCTTTTGGTCCGAAAGAAAAGGCTATTCATGGACATTTCCTTTTGTCCCTTAACCTGGACCTTCTGATCTTAAATGGCGGTGATTCGACCACTTGGTTCTCAGGGGCCGTGACTCGAGATAGTGGAGAACTTTCGGGAGGAACATTTTTCCTGCCAGGTCGGAGAAAACGATCGCTACTTTTAATTAAACTTTTTTTTTTTTGTCTTGTTAATGTTCTGGGTGCAATTGGGCGTGTTAGCAAATCGGCACCCCGTGTGCACTCGCTCCACGTGAAGCACTCGAAGCTTACTCGAATATGTTCAGTGTCTTTGTGTAGGTCCCACGCATAAGACGATAAATATCGCCAGTTTAAGACACCAGTTTAAAGCCAAATCCGGGCCGCTTTTCCTCATCTTTCTCCGAGGACGGACGAGCAGATTCCCTCTCCTTCCCGCTCCTTTTGCGCTCAGTCGGCCGGTGAATATCCAACAAATTGAGAAACGCGCACGGGAGGCTCCGTCCTTTGCTTTTTGCCCCCGTGTCACAGTTCCAAGGTCCACATTTCATTATTCCGGGCCCTGAAATATGGACTGTAATATCTTTTTATGTTATTGCCTTGGGTGGCTGCCGGCAATTTCTCACAGATTCGCATGACGTGGACTGCTGCCCTGCAAAGTGAGCCCCGCTTAGAGCTAATGTCTGTGTGTGTGTGTGTGTGTGTGTGTGTGTGTGTGTGTGTGTATGTGTGTGGTTTCCACAGTCTGTCAGGGGGTAGGCACTTTGCCGGTCAGGCTGGACAGTTGTTGAGAAACAGGGACGCACAGATCTGGTGATTAATCGCCGTCTGTGCCTCTCCTGGCTAATTCTGAGCGACTGCAGCTGACCGGCCGGGCGTCCGGCAACAGTTAGGCATCTAAAAGGCATGATCCTATCTAAACTGGTAATGCGAGGTCTAGAAAATGCTGCAATACTGCATTCTCTGCATTGGTCATGACATGTATAAGGCCATGTGTATCCCACTTTAAGCAGCCCTCGGCTTGTTTTTTTTGCTTCCTTTCTCACGTGTGTGGCTCAGTTTGACCTGAACCTATGGCCCAGGATATTTGAAAAACCCGAGACGCAGTCTGGTCTGCGTGGCCTCGCTCGTGTTTGTTTTTCAGGGCGTGTCCCGCCACGCCGTTTCTGTTGTTCCGGGCTCCGTTCAGCCGGTGTGGGAAGTCCGCAACCGGTCCAAATATGGTTTCCCTTTTTTGTATTTTGTGTTTTTTTTTTTGGGCTCCCGCCGGAAGGTTTGGCTACTCAAGCGGCCGGCTTGCCAGATTTCCGTGGCCGACAGACAGTAAAAGTTGGTGTTGGATTTGGATCTGTGGCAGACTGGAGGGGCCTGCTGGAGCCTCGGTCATGTGACATTAGGGACAGACATTAGGGCTGTTTTTCTGAACCCTGCAGCATTTGACCCCCCCCGCTCAGTTCATGCTAACGCACCACGCCTCCAGCTGTCCCGGACGGAGAGGATTCGCTCGCGGACTTCTTTCTGGTCTGCGAGGGCCCGGCGTGGTCGCTGGGAGTCGTTGGGTTGAGCTCCAACACCACAGAGGAAGAAAAAAAAAAAAGAACGACTTTAAACAGAGGTCACTTGCAGGGTAACTGACTCGTTGGGCAATACCTGTTGTGCAAAGGCCCGGCCATTATCAGTCAGGCCGAGGACAGAGCCGGTCGCAGGGAGCCGCTGTTCCTGTCGGGAGGTCGCTCGTAAGAGCTGGATTTGACCCAGCGCCGCCTGCCAAACGCCCGTTTCTTTAGCTTCTCCCGGCTCCTTTTTAAGTTGTTTTGTAGCACCTTTTCAGACAGCACCTCCCTTTTAGAAATAAAATAAATAAATCTAATAAAAAAGAATCTGCTTTTAGATGGAAAGCTTTCCCAACTTTCATGGCGGCCGTCCACCATTTTGTTAATTTACTGTGTGGATTCATTTCTGAAGCGATGAGGCCACATGATGAGGCTAGTGAGTGGATATTATCCAGCCTTGAAACCCATCTCATCAGATACTTCCAGGTTTCTGCCTTATTTTTTGCCTTCCCCGTTTAACCAACAGATCAAATATCCGGTCAGTCTGCGGCCGGCCCGTGTTGAGTTGATCATGTGAATCACAGCGTTGAGACAAACTAAGAAATACAACACTTTTGAAGGGATTTCTGCTTTTGAAGCGACATCCATCGCAGACTGATGGACGACTGGAAAAGAATGGTCGAAAAAGAAGAAGAAGAAGAAGAAAGGAAGGAAGGAACGAACAAGACATTCAAATGTGTGAGCGGGGAGATTAGGGAAAACTAACCAATTAAAGATGAGAACAATGGCGTCCCGGGCTTTATACGGCCGGCCTTGGCAGAGGTGGCTGTCTTGAATTGAAGGAAACTGAAAATATTTGTCAGTCATGACGGGGACCTTATCAGCGCGGGCCTTGCAGCATGTGCCCGGGACATGTTTTCAGTTCATGAGAACATTTCGCGTGTACACGCTGTACCCCTCCGAGTGTTTACGCATGCTTATGCGCACACACACACACACACACACACAGACACACACAAACACACTGATCCGGGCCCACGTGGCGCGCCGAGGGCGGGGTGCCTCTGTTTTAGGAGCAGAATTTGCTCAGCTCCAGTTTGACTGCACTGCTTATGTCGCTGTTGACTTTCCCTTTGCCACCTTACTTAGAGGGTGTGTGTGTGTGTGTGTTATTCAGCTGGCTTTGAGAGAAGCCGTGCACCTAAAGGGAACAGACACCCTTGAGAAGGGGTTGGGGGTGGGGTGGGGGGTCGTGGTTAAATGTTAAAACTCACCAGGATGTGTACATGGCTTAAGAGAAAAATCCAGAAAGTAAGAGCTGTCTGCTTTTCTGCCCTCTCTCTAGGAACGCACCAGGTCTTTTGACAGCTTCAACATGAATACTCTGGAGCGCTCCCTGATTGACATCATGAGGGCCGAGCAGGACAACCTGAAAGGTGAAAATCCAGCTGCCGATATGACGAACCACCAAGCAGATGCGCTACAGTTGCAGCAAACCCCCCCCACCCCCAACCCCCCAACCCTTTCATTTCCTGTTGGCAGCGGTGTACCTAGAATCACTGTTGGGCCTTTGTGTTTTCAGCCTCAAAAGATCACCTTGTTCTTTGTGAGATTGCACTATAATCCAGCATGCTGTTAATGGTGAAGAAGGAAGAAAAGATCGAGCATTCTTGGTCTCGAAAACAGTAGAAATCATGTGTGTATGTTCACACATGTGATTCCGGGTTTCCGCGGCTCACACGTGTACAGCCTGCCCTGTTTTCTTTTGGGGTTTAATCAGCATTAATTGGAAAAGTCAGTCCGGGCAGCAGTCGGGCTAATCCTCTGTCCTTCTCTCTGTCCTCTCCTTTTTTCATATTAAGTAACTCTGGCAACTAGAAAAACAAGAAGAAAAAGGTCTGATGCGTAATGTGCCTGAGCTTATGACCTTTTTTCTTTTTTTCTTCCCGATTGTTGAGATGGAGAATAATGTCGGCTTAGCTTCTGTTTTTTTTTAAAGATTGGATTTGTGGGAGAAATAGAAGTAGTCCGCTGATCTGAGCTGAGGCCGTGATTGGTCACCACTAGTCATCATTGCTGCTGCACAGCCTGCTGTTCTGGACGATGACGCCCATCTGACAGTGATGATTATTTGTTATTGACAAAAATGATCGACTGTGGAACTGTGGACCACAAAGAAACGTAATCTCTATAATTCCGGTAAAAGCAGAGAAAAGAAACAAACCTTTGGACTGATGAAGGCTCTCAACTTATTGTTTGTCAAAAGAGTGTGGCTGGTCATCCCTTAATGATGGGAAATCAAAGCTTTTTTATAAAGAGTGGACTAAACAGAATGTTCATTTTCACACCATTAAGCAATTATATTTATACAGGATTGTTTCTTATAAAACAAACCAATACACCGACCCTAAAAAGAGGAAGCCCATCGTCTGCATATCTTTTCTCTAAAAAGGTCAATAAGCAGTGATGGTGCCTTCAAGGCGCCTCGAAAATGTGGGAGCAGAGGAGACGATTGTTGAAAAATGTATTTGAGCCTAATTTCTTTTTGGTATTTACCTTAAACTTAAACAGGAACAAAAACAGGTTGTTGCGGCTTACAGTAGATCTAGCTTGGGCGTAGTTGGCTAACAGAAAATAATGCTGGCCACAGTTGGCTGTTGGCTGAGAGGGAGGAGTTGGTTTTAGTTACTCTGATAAAGGTCTTTATTTGGAAAGAAACACCTTTGATTTCCTAAGGCTTTGACCGTGTTAAAGGATTAGGGCGTGGCATGCTAACTGAAGTTGTTAAATAGACCACAGGCTTGCAACAATCCATATTCTGATATCGCCTGGTTGAGTAAGATCGCTAATTGGTGGCGAGACAATCATTTTTTCTTGACCCGAGTTGCCTTTTTGGCCCAAAAATGAAAAGCACGCCAATTTAATCCTGCTGTAACGCCACAGAGCCGATAATCTCATTACACCCAGATAGCGGAAGATAAAAGATGATAGCTTTCTGGTCCTTAAAGGCACCACATTGTAAAACGCACGCTCATGTTTCACCTTTTTTTATTTTCCTTTTTTCCTTTCTTTCTTTTTTTTATTTTTTACATTGCCTTTAGACCCATGGCACTTACTCGCATGCAGCTGTGATCTTATGACCTCCTGTCAGATCCTAGGCCATTTGGCCTAAATATCAGAATGGAAAAAGCTGAAAGCTCGAATGTCAGGGACAGTCGTAGAGCCTTTGCTTTGTTAGAAATCGGCCTGTGCTGCAGTACGGCAAGCAGCGTTTATTTCGCAACAACGGAGGAGCTGAAATTCTTGCCCAGTTGAAAAGTTGCCTGGCAGTAACACTCAGATTCACCTCAAGATTTGACCAATTGAATATTCAAGAGATTCCACCATGCTTCTGCCTCTCAGACGTCAAATCTGACCACTTTTTTCTCTTTGGTCCTTTATTCATCCGTATCTGATTTGTCCTAATAGTGCAACCATTATGTGCCTCTTTCACATGATGCATCACAACATACCCCATCTCCTGATTCTTTCTCTTTTTTTTTTTTTTTTTTTAAAGTTTAACTTGCAGCTCCTGGATGCCCTATAATAAGTCATCCCTTGTTTTCCTCATTCCACCTCCGGCTTGTGTGGAGCTGTGTCATGGGCGACTGTGAATCAGGCCAGTCCGTCCCCCCTTTTTCTGTGCAAGAAGACAGCCGCTCTGCTTTTTGTCTCTCATTCTTCGCTCTGTTTTTTTGCGCACGCAAAAAAATGCGGCGTTCACACACACACGCGCGCCCCGAACGTGTTGGACGGGGCGAGAGCAGAGGAACATAACGGGCAAAAAAAAATGTCTGCAGCAGACCCAGGCTTTGAATCCCTTCCAGCATTGTCCTGACAGTAAGAAAGGATCCCTCTGTTTGGTCATCAGGCGCACACACACGCGCACACACACACACACCCCTGTGTTGTGTGAGCTTGTGCAAGCATGTGATTTAACTGTTAGCGTGCTGCATGTATGTGTGTGTGTGTGGGTGTGTGTGTGTGTGCAAGCCAGCCAGTTTGCAAACAAGCTTTTGCAGAGTAACCGCACAACACGCCGTGCCCAGGTGGAGGTTTGGGCGGTGTAACTGTTAGCACCTAATGTTTAGAACGCCGCCGACTCCCATGAAACCAAACTCTGGACAAACAAGCCAAACACTCCTATTTTCGGCATCGGCAATGGGGCAAGTTGTAAGGAAACTTACATGCTTTGGTTCTGGTGAGATACGCTTCTGTTTTCTTTGTTTTGTGTTGTTAAATATGCAAGTGTGTGTGTGTGGGGAGGAGGGGCCGTCAGATTTCCATGCAATGGGTGCATCGGAATGCACCAATCGCCGGGCGGTCCACAAGCGGGGCAACAATGGTGGCACTATTCGAGCCCTTTCATCTCATTACTGCTCGGCGGCCGGCGGGCGGGCGGGCGGGCCTCGCATAACTCGGAGGCCCGTTTGGCACCGGCGCGCGCGTTCGTGTGGGCGCTGCCGCCGTGCGCGCCTCCTGTAGAGCGGCCCTGGCAAACGGCTCGGTTGGAAATGCACGATGACAAAACCGGAGGTTGGCGTCAAAGGAGAGGGCCGCTAGATGTCCCAGACCACAGGTGTGGTCTCTAACCAGATAGATCTGTTCGAATAGCGTTTATCAGACACTCCATTTCTAGACGTAAAGGAAACTGATTGTAGAGTCCATTTGGTAGTTTTTTTTTTTCTTTATCCTCAGCTGGAGGAAAGAAAAGTGCTCCTCAGTTTGGTGGTGCAGCTGTAGAGGGTTCTGCCGGGCCGTCCTCTGGGGGCATCGCCTCACAAGCATTGCCCATGCTCACCAGATGGGTACACGTGGTGCTCTGAGCAGTTTCAGTCCAGCCGGGCACGTCCCGTGCTCCCGTCTGATGTTTCCTTTCAGTGTGCTGAAAGGAAAAGCAACAATCTTTTTCTTTGTTTTGCTGCTTTTTCTTGGTTGAAACAAAACAAAACAACAAAAAAAAGCGCACAGGAACAATGACCATGACAGATTCTCTGGGGTGTTATGATTCTTGAATTTTTTTTAAAAATTCCTAAAAAAAACTCAGCCTTGATTTGTCATGGAAAGCCTTGAAGTGTTTCTGTTGAGGCTGAGAAATGCCACAGGGTTGTAAATCTTCCATTTATGTGAGTTTCATCCCTCTAATTTAGTCGCTGCTGACATTTTAGGATTTGTGTGACGCTGAAAGTTGGCCTGAAATGAACTTGTGAGCGGGGCTGAATAAGTCTTAAACCCCTAGTTTGCTTTACCCTGTTTTTTTGAGATACAAATGGAGGAATGCGAATACGGGACTTTGTTCTCTGTGATGATTGTTGAAATAGTTAAAATGTGGGATGCCATGTTGGAAGATAGAAGTGTGACGGTCTCTTTTCAGGCTGATGTAGCTCAAATCTTTTCAGCTGTCCCTCTCTCACATCCTTAATTTCCTCATATGCTGCCATAATAATGAACCCATGATGGTTTTAGCTATATGCTATTAGTCAAAACACACATTTGCGTTGAACTCCTGTCTGCGGTTGCAGTTCGGCATTGGGTATCAGCTTTAATGGAAGATAAGCCTGGATAAAAATGCTTTTTCTCTTCTGTCTTCCTGTGCAGGTCACCTGGGGTTCCCCCACGCCGGAGGGGACAACCCTCTCCCCCTCAACGGTACGTATGCAAACGGACCGATAGCATCACCCAACATTACACTCTGATTTTTGACAAAGCGCTCACAGTATAACTTCTTCGAATTTGACTGGCTTGGACAACAACTTTAGCTTCTGTGCTAATGCTAACCCTGCTGCGAGGGGTTGAACAAACCATTACAAACCATGCTGGGGACACGGTGTGCCCAGTGGAGCTTCTCCCATGGTGTGAAGTGACCCCAGTGTTCATGGGGGGGGGGGCTGGTGTACTTTCCTGACCTAACGAACCAGAGCCTAACCCCATCTGCCCTCCGTCAAGTGTCTCCGGTCGCATTTTGACTAGCGTCCGTGTTCGCTTTGAAACCTTTCACCTAGTTTTGGGGCTCCCCCCTCAGTTCTGTCGCCTCCCGCTGTGAGGGGGCGCGGAAGGCCGAGCGGAAGGCCGGAGAGCGGCAGGTAACGAGCAGGCGGGCAGAACGCCGGCCTAATGGAACAGCTCCTCCAAAGGCTGGCGGGGTCACATGACCGGCTCACATGGTCAGGAGCTGTCATCAGGCTTTGAGACAGATGGGGCCCGGGGATAGGGGCCCCCCCCCCCCCCCCCCTCCCCCCCACACACTCTCTCCCAGCCTCATAAGGACGCGCAGATTGCGTTTCCTCATTCCCTTGACCCCCACCCTCTCCCCCGCCCGGTCACTCTCATTTTCTCTAACCCCCACAAAGCTTTTTAGCAGCTCATTTCTGCATCGCGTCCAATCTATTTTTCCCCTCCCCTCACACACATCTTTTTATAGCGCTCCTCGCTCCCTCTCAATCTGCTTTTCCTCGCCCTTATTTTCTTTCGTTCGCGGCTCTCTCTGACCTTCCCAGCAGAGCTAATGTCCATCAGGACCGAAAAGTCCAGCTGAGGAAGATGGGAGATTGTTGCGCAAGTCGTTTCCCGGGTCTCCTCGAGGGGTGTCGATGGTCAGTTCGATGCCGGCCTTTTAACTCTGCCCGGCCCAGTTGTTCCAAGGACCTCCCCCCCGATTACGGTGTCACGCCGGGTAGAAGCGGCCATACGCGTGGGCCTTTTCAACGCCAGGGACGGGGCTAAAGGGCTCCTGATTGGCCCACCGACTCGGCCCATTCTCCCTGGTTACGCGCCGTGTGCCTCCACGATTTCCACTCTTTCGAATCCTTAGCGTGATGCATTCAAGGACGGGACATCTCCCCCACGTCATCCATCTTTACGCGCACCCTACTGTACTTTATTACCCTCCATTTGGGGAAATGAATAAGTTGAAATTTGCCAAAGTGGCTAAAGTGGAGTGTTGATTGTATTGTTGAATTCAATCTAAGCTGCTGTGCATGCCATCAGCGGGGGAAGTCCTGCTTGATGGGGGTCTTTTTCAGCTATCCGGCCTTTGGTGGAGGTGTCTCCTCCAGTGGCCTGTTTGATTTAATTTGTTTCTGTGACCTTTTGACACAAAGGCATTGTCACATTCGTTGTGGTCCCAGTCGTGTCGCCCTTTTTTGTTTTTGGCAACATTCTGATGTCAGTTGGGGCTTGAACAGCTCCTCTCCTTAACGTCCAGGGAGATGGCTTACCCGAATCCCCCCTTTCTCATCCTCTTCGCGTCGCCGCATCCCGAATGGGTTAAGTGATAAAAGGCCCTTTGCGAAGCGCCTCCAGGTCTGTGCCGTCAACTGACTTGCGGCCGGCGATCAGAAGCGGGCTGGCTGTTTCTTCATCGTCACAAAGCAGCCGGCGCTTTTCCTCACATTTTGGTGCCTCTCACGGCAGCTGTGAACAACTCTGTCTTTGATTTGTCCCTGTTTCACACGCAGCAAGGAATTATAGCAGGAGACGAGGTAAAAACGATCTGTACTCTGTGTCACCGTAGTTTTTTCATTGTTTTTTTTCTATTTGGATACGTTTTTGTGATGTGAAAATGCTTTGTTATGATTTGGCACGGTCTGATGGTTTGCTGTCGCATTCATGGGCGTCCGGGTTTCGCATCACTTTTGGCTTCCATTTTTTTTTTTTTTTTTTTTTTGCTCTTGCACAGTCCAGTGGTGTGTTTGTCTGCATGAGCGTGTACGTGTCGGGCCTGGCTGAGGGCCCGTGAAGTGGTCTTGTACATCTTTCATTCTAAAATGGGCCCTTTCTTTTCTTTTTTTTCCCCCTTTTTCCCCCCTCTCATTACGCCTCACTCTGCATGCATGTATCTCCACATACATATTATGAGATTAAGTCCCACGGTTGAAGTGAGCGTCGCGTTTAGCTGGGGTTAATGAGGCTGCGAGGGCCAGGGCTCACTTACCCTGACGCTGCCACAGAGGCAGACGCACACGGCACACGCTGCAAGTTGAGGCTAACACCCTCGCACAAATCTTTTATAAAGCAGCTCAGGGCAGGTTGGACGGGAGCAGGAACGGGGCAGCCGGAGCTTAGCCTCCACCGTGCATATGCTGCACAGTGAGGCAATTCAGAGCCGCTCTCTTAAGAGGACTACTGTGCCTGTTCGATAAGCTGCGCACACGTTCGGTTTGTCAGTGCCAGTGCAGCCGCTCATGGACATTTTTTAAAATTTTTCGGCTTTTTTTAGTGCGTCTATTCTTTAAAAAAATAAAAAACATTTTTACACGTGTTTTCAAACTGCATTCCCTCATTTCTTGATGGCTTTAAACTCCTACATTTGTTTGATATTCCTTCCTCTGTTTTTTTCAGTTTGAGTTTGGGAGGATTCTTTTTTCTCCACGTTGTAGTTTCATACTTTAAATCTCATATTAGTTCTGAAACAGTGGGACTGGTGTTTCTTTAAACCGGAATCTAAACTGATTGTCGACCGTGGCCGTCGCCGTGGGGTCACGGTGACATCCCCTCTTCTTCACACCTAACTGCGTCTTCGGGATTAAAGTCTTCCCTCTCCCTGTGTCCCAGGCCACTCCTCCCTCTTCCCCATGGAGGACGGTTTCCCTGACGACGAGCGTGGGGATCAGGGTCTGGCTGGCCTGGGCTCCCCGCACTGCTTCCCCCATCAGAACGGCGAGCGCGTGGAGCGCTACTCGCGCAAGGTCTTCGTCGGGGGGCTGCCGCCGGACATAGATGAAGGTAATGTAGCCACGGTTAGAAGCTTATTCACCGGGATCCTTTTAGCAACTCGCTCAGCTTAAAATGAGACACACACACACACACTGCCTCTTAGTGTACGCTCTTTTTTTGTTTTTTCAGATGAGATAACTGCCAGTTTCCGGCGCTTTGGACATCTGTTCGTGGACTGGCCTCACAAAGCAGAGAGCAAATCCTATTTCCCCCCTAAAGGTACGCCCTCCCATCGAACCGTCCCCATCAGCACTCGGCTGACCTTTTGACCGGTCGCCAATAAAGAGGAAAAAAAAACACCAAACACGTGCATATGTTTCGGAGTAGGCTTTTGTTTTTCAGGCTGTCATTGAGATTGTAGTTAGACGTGTCTGAAATTCAGAGCGGTCTCATTAGAGGTCAGTTTTTTTTTAGTTTTTTTTATCCCTCTGGCCCGAGCGGCTCGAATGACCCCGCTGTATTTTGGGCAGGCTACGCCTTCCTGCTTTTCCAGGATGAGAGCTCTGTGCAGGCTTTGATCGACGCCTGCATCGAGGAGGACGGCAAGCTGTACCTCTGCGTGTCCAGCCCCACCATCAAAGACAAGCCGGTCCGTGAAAACACACACCCACACCCACACACACACACACACACACACACACACACACAGACAGACAGACAGACAGACATCCCCTGTTGCTGAACCCTGTGCTTTGGGTTTCTGTTTGTGTTTGCGCCACAGGTCCAGATCCGCCCGTGGAACCTGAACGACAGCGATTTTGTGATGGATGGATCTCAGCCCCTGGATCCCAGGAAAACCATCTTCGTGGGAGGAGTTCCTCGCCCCCTCCGCGCAGGTATCCTCGGCTTTAACGCTCTCCTACCGCCCGAAATTGACGACGGGGGGGAGTGTTTGGGATTGAAACACTCGCATTTTGAGCGCGCGCTGAGCACGTGGGCGGCATCGCCAGCTTAATCGTCGCCTCCCCATATTTTCGGCCGCACATCAAAGGCCTTTAAAGCGCCGCCGACGTTGTGTTCGCACCTCCTCGTGTTTGTTTAAAAGCAGATGTAAGGGATGATAAATAGCCATGTTTTTTTTCCCTGCTCACACATTGTGCCGGGCTCTCTGGCGAATGCCAGCTGTAAGCAGAATGCTTCCTTCGCAGCGTGTTTCAGACCGGGGCTGCAGAGGCTGGTTTTCCCTGTGGCGCGCTGAGCCGAGCAGAATATTGAAATGAATCTTCTTTTTTCTTTTTTTCATGCTAGCAGTGTTCGGTGTTTTGGTGTTGTTGTGCCACAGACCTCTGCTGTTCTGCTGTTGTAATAATCAAGGTCACGGTGGCCCGCAGTGCACTGGGTGTTTTATTAGCTTGCATAACACAAGTTTGAACACCCTTATTTTGAAAACAGCCATATGAGTAACCCCCCTCACCGCCTCCCCACACACACACTTGGCATTGTTTAACCATATTTAAAATGTCAGGATTGTTTGAAAGCAGGAGAATGAGCTCGGATCAGAAGCCCGACGTTCCCCTCCGTTTTGCGTTCAGCTGAATGCGCCTTCTCTCTGTGTGCCTCCGCCCCTCTGCAGTGGAGCTGGCCATGATCATGGATCGTCTGTACGGCGGAGTTTGCTACGCTGGCATCGACACAGACCCAGAGCTGAAGTACCCCAAGGGAGCGGGGCGGGTCGCCTTCTCTAATCAGCAGAGCTACATTGCCGCTATCAGTGCTCGCTTTGTACAGCTGCAGCATGGAGAAATCGATAAACGGGTGAGTGGAAAGAGGAGAGCTCAGGGGTTATTTTCCGCCCCTGTCTCTCCCTCTATCTCTCTATCTCTCTCTCTCTCTCTTCCTGCCCCCTGCTTTCTTCAGTTGCACCCCCCACACACCTTACTTCCTGCTCTTCCTTTGAATTTTTTTTTATTTTTTATCTCTAACTCAACTGCCCTTGCTCTATTTCCTTTTGTACAGAGGAGATAGGCAGGTTGTTGTTGTCACACTTGCACAACATGCAGAATTAGGTGACCTTTTTTCTTAAGAAGGACAGATATTCTTAACTATTTTTCAGGGAATACAAAACATGGGGGAAAAAAAAAGTCTGGACTCTGTAGTTTAAGCATCAGAGTGAAGGCGTCTGCTGGGAAAGTAAGGAAAAAAGTCAAATTTTTCTTGCTTTCTTTTTTACTTTGCTGCATTGTAGCAGTGTAGTTAAGTGTTAACATTTTGACGAAGAAGTTAAAAGAAGTGAGCAGCAGTTCCTTGGGAACAGAATATACAAAACAGATTGGTTTCAGAGAAAAAAGGCCACTCTCTGACACACATTTGAGCTTTTTTTTTTTTTTGTCTTCTGGCAGTGAGCCAACAGGCCTGAATGGTCATCATTACATCCATTAGACACAGTTGCACTTTTTCCTCTCTAAGAATCAAGTCTCCTGTATGTGTGTGTGTAGAATTCTTCCACCACTCCTTAAAAAGGACTTAGTAGGACTTCTTTCTCAGGTAGAAACATGGGGTGGACATAAGTTGAGTTAAAATGTTAAAAAAACAAAACATTTTAAACTATCACTATAGCACTATCCTGAAATATGTTGCCATTTGCTGCAACTCAGTGTAGCAACAATGAAACCGTTGGCATGGGAACCCGCCACGTAAAGCATCCAGCTGATGGAAAAACTTAAAACGCGCCGATTCGGGGCGAAACCTAACGAGAAGGCCTTGCTCTCCCGCTCTGCGTGCAGGTGGAAGTGAAGCCATACGTGCTGGACGACCAGCTGTGCGACGAATGCCAGGGAACCCGCTGCGGCGGGAAGTTCGCGCCCTTCTTCTGCGCCAACGTCACCTGCCTGCAGTACTACTGCGAGTACTGCTGGGCGGCCATCCACTCGCGCGCCGGCCGAGAGTTTCACAAGCCCCTGGTGAAGGAGGGAGGCGACCGGCCCCGCCACATCTCCTTCCGCTGGAACTGAGCGGGGGACGACAGGGAGAGAGGGAGAGAGAGAGAGAGAGGAAGAGAGGAAGAGAGAGAGAGGGAGAGGCAACAGAGGAGCAGGAGGGCAGGTAGTGCAGGAGTCGCAAATCATTGTACAAATAAATGCACTTTTCTGTTGCTAGTTCCTTTTTGCTCTAATTTCGCCAGACATGATTTTTTTTTCCTTTATTTTTAGTTTTTTTGTTTAAAGTTAATATATATCGATATTTTGAAGATAGAAAAGAAAAACTGGAGTTATATCCAAATATGTCCATCTAGAAAAGAAAAGATGTAACATAATTTTATTTATACTTCTGATTTTTTAAATATTTTTATTAGTTCTCAAAAAATATATATATAAATACATATATATATATATATATAAATATATATATAGGATAGTTTGATGTGTGAGATGGTACTCTGCTGATCAATTGGCATATTTTTGTAAAGTTTAGATTTCCTTTTGCAAGAGGCCCTTAGAATACTCATTGGACATTCAGTGGACTTAGATTGTAGCAGAGCTGTTACAGCTGAACCAGCAAACGATTGGCTATTTATTTCTCAGAGCTGGGGCAGGCTGTGGGCCGCTAATGCATGACCCTCAAGAGCAAATGTGAATTTAACACACAAAAAAA